CAAAACCAGAGGAAACTGGCCTCAGGGATTTGCAGACCGTGGCAACCAGGAGCCCCTGTCCTAGACTTTAGACCCCTGTTCAGAAATCCCGTAGTTGACAACTAGGTCTTAGGGTTTAGGGATTAGGCTGTAGAGTTTAAGCTTTGGGGTGCCGGAACTCTAGCATAAAGCCTCAGCTCCAACCCCCAAAGGACCCTGAACTGCAGCACAGCAGGGCATCCGCACGCCCCCACTTGCAGTGTGGTGGTATCGACCCCTTCGGGTGCAAGGGCAAGTCGATCCGTCACGGAATCCGGAGGTGGACATAATGTAGTGTATTCTATCATGTTATATTGTTTGCGAGCAGGTTATATTCTATACTTTCGAAAACATATGTAGTAGAATGCTGTGGCATTGTGAGCACAGCATAGCATAGCATAGCACAGCATAAAACAGCATAGCCTTGCGTAGTATTGTTAGCACATGGTGTACAGCCGAGCAGAGTGCAGTGTTGTGTAGTGTAGTGTAGTACAGTGAAGCAGTGAGTCATAGTATAGTGTGCAGCATAATGACAAACACGCAGCACAAGAAATCATAACATACCATTCATCAATAGCAGACGAGAAAAAACACGAGGACATAATCCTAAAGCCTAAACCCTAAGCAGAGTATGACTGCGATAGCTATTGGGACTAAAGCCCTCCTAAACAAAACCCGTGTACAGCTCTGCAATATAGAGCTCCTAAGCGTGCTTCGTGATTCGTCGGAGCAGTCAGATCATGCTTACCAACAGTAGCAAAGGTTAAATCTAGCACTACCATTCCTAGACCCTAACCTTCCAGAGCCCGAGGCCTTCAACCCGAAGCCATGGTTATACCGCTAGCACCTTGGATATGTGTAAGTTGCGGGAGGTTTTGGGGTTAGAAGGCTGAGCAAGAGTTATGGCAGTTATGGTATGGATAGTACTCTGTCTTGTAGAGGCCCTAAGCACGAATTGTGGCCTCTTGCGCCAGTCACTGCACAGAGACAATCAATCCCCTGCAGCATGGCAGTGTATAGTAAATGGTTGATGCTTTAGTAGTAGTAGTAGTAGTAGTAGCAGCAGTAGCAGTAGCAGTAGCAGCAACCGTAATCGTAGTCGTAGCCGTAGTAGAATAGTAGTCGCATGTACCAGCAATAGCAGTAGGAATAGCAATAGCAGTCGCAGAAATAGCAGCAGCAGCACCAGCAGCAGCAGCAGCAGGAGGAGGAGGAGTAGTAGCAGTAGGAGTGGCAGGAGTAGTAGTCGCAGTAGTAGCAGTAGTAGTGGTGGTAGTAGCAGTAG